TGTCTGTGTATTCGAGAGTCATAAAAAAGAAAACTTGCTTTTTGGATGGAATTGAATCTACATTCAATTTAAACATAGCGTCGTTTAAACCGCACAACTGCAGTTACTCTATTTAATAAATGCATAACTTTTCTTCAGATACTTCGTATATATATATATATATATATATATATATATATATATATAAAGGGGAAAAATAATGGAAGCATTATTAATAAAAAAGAAAAAGTCAACACTCAATAACATCAACTATGAACACGGACAAAATTTGCTGACCGTGTTTCGAAAAACGAGCACTCCTATAACACTAGATACATAAAAAAATCAATTAAAAAATAATATTTCAAATTCTATATTGTGTTAATAGGACTCGCTTGGATAATACCAACGGATTACTATATATATATATATATATATATATATATATATATATATATCTTTTCTCTCTCTCTCTTTATCTCTGTCTCTCTCTCTCTATATATATATATATATATATATATATATATATATATAAATGAAAAAGCAACCGCTCTAGATTGAGTTTTTAATTTCATTGTTTAAAAAAAAAAAAAATCAGGGAAATCTACTCAAATATGTATCCCCAGGCAGTGAAGAAGTTGGAGAGGGGAATTAACAGGAGATAATTGACAACTGACATCCATTAGACATGGTACGTTGAACTAGAACGGGCTACCCCAATGAGGGAAATAAAGGGTTCAGTTCGACATTCCAACCACCTGAAGAAGGCCGGAGCGTATAACGGCCGAAACGTTGCAATAAATATGGCGAGAAAAGATGAGGACAATAGTCCGAATAATGTAAATAGTGTACATAATACCTCATCTCAGAAATATAGACAGATAGTGAATCTGAATAAGCATAGAAGGTAATTCTCATTCGATTCAGTTTAGGTTGAGATGTTGAAATGCGCCCTGGATTTAGGCCGAAGTAGCATTTTCATTTTCCTAAATGAACCCATTATCTGTGATTACTGTCTGCTTTCAAAAGTGTTTATTTTTTTCCTCCCGAATAAAAGAGAAATACAAGTGTCCAAATATTGACCAAATATTCGTGTTCCTAATTTTATGAGCAAACCATTATCCTTACATCGGAATTTTTCTAATGTTTATAAACAACTTATTATAATTGAGTGTACAAGTAACAGAGTTGAACTTCAAAACACTGGATCTGGATCAGCATATAAGTTATTTGAATTCATAAATTAAGCATATAGAATATATAATTCATTTTTTTTTAAACAGGAGAAAGTATTTTTTTTTTTTTAATGAAGTAAACATATATAGAATATATAATTCATTTTTTTAAACAGGAGAAAGGCAACTATTTAAAAAAAAATGAGTATTTACGTTGACAGATTTTAATTGAAGTATCAACATATTCAGCATCGGGAACAAACGCGACATAAATCCTGTTATTAAAGAATTTCTGATATATAAGAACATGAATTTGATGATTTTACTGGAGTAGGAAGATTTTGTGGTACTAATATCCCGATAGTGTGAAGATAGATCTTTTTTAGATTTGAAATTATTCTTGGAAACTGGATTGATAGATTTATCAGATAGATAATGATCTGAACAGTCTCAGGTATAAACAGACTGAAAACAAACGCGACAAAAATCCTGTTATTAAAGATTCCATCTGAACATAAAGATAGATTTAAAAGAAGAAAGTCGAACACAAACTGAGAAATATATAGAAAATATAGACACAGAGAGATAGATTGAACAGATAGATAGATAGATAGATGAGATAGATATAGATATAGATAGATAGATCTGAACAGACTCTGAACAGATGAGATAGATCAAAATAGACTGAGATAGATAGATTTGAACAAACTTAGATAGATATATACATAGATAGATAGACTAAAAAGAATAGATAGATAATAGATAGATAGATAGATAGATAATGATTTAAATAGACTGATAACAACATGAACTCAGACTGATCGATAGATTTAAGATCTAGACTGAAACAGATGTTTCTTAGATTTCTTTCTTATAATTTTCTGATAGATCCACTCTAAATAGATAGATAGATAGATTTGAACAGATACTAGATATTTTGGAAACTATGAAGAGATGACGACAGAAATAGATTTGAACAAACTGAGATAGATTCCTCTGATAGATTCTTTCATCCACTTTCCCAGACTGAGATAGATAGATTTGAACAAATTTATCCGATTCTCCTTCCTCATTATAGATAGATGAAGTCCGAACAGACTTCAAACGATCCATGATATCCTTATTCTGTAGAAAATCTCTGTCACAGATGAATCTTCGAAAATCGATAGATTTGCTTCCGTAAAGTAGCACAGATAGATAGATTCTGAACAGACTGAGATAGATCTCTTCCTGAATAGATTGAGATAGATAGTTTTGAACAAATTTAGATTTTTTTCTTTCGGTCTATATTTTTTTTCTAGATACAAATTTTGAAAAAGAAGAAAGAAAGATCTTTGTTTATCCATTTTATAGATCTAAAACAGACTGTGATAGATTTAAAAATTCAGACTGAAATAGATCGATTTAGATAGATTTCTTTTCTAGATAGATCCTCATAACAAGGATAGAAAAATAGAAAAAGATGTCCGATAGTGTGATATTTTTTTTGTTACTTCAGCCATAACAACATGACTACAACTAATCTCATACACATTCCATTCGTGACGCCAAAAGATAAAGATCATCGCTTCAAATAATTTATTTATAGTCTATCGCTTGTCAAAAGGAATTTTACTTCAGATCTACAGAAAGCTCACGAACGTTCCTGGAACAATGCGCTTCTTTCTTTCTTTCTTTCAAGATAGATTCTTTTTGAAAAATTCTTATAATTTTCTCTGTTTACCTCTTTTTTATCCACTTCATGTATAATGTTGTGGAGGCGAACAATGAGGCTCTCTCTTGATTAGCATCAAAGGGTACGGTGTTTGCACAGTCTGTAGTCACATACATGTGTGATGTCACGAATTGAAAAACAACTGAAAAGAAAAGACTATGACAAACACCGATGACGACAGAAGTCTTTCACGATTTTCTTTCTTTTCTTTTTTTTTTCGTGCCATATTCTTTTTCTTTTTATCAGGACGTTCAAATCATTTTTCGAACAAAACCTTAGCTTTTTCCACCCCTCTATTCCTTGCAGCTCTCATCAAAAAAATCCTTCCATCTTTCATTCTTTTCTTTTTTCTTTCAAACCCAGGCCACGTTCTGTCATCCACTTTTTATTTCGTTCAAATCCCGCCAGGTTTCTTTTATATCACGCGTTGTTTTCCCTTCTCATTCAATCTCTCTTTCCCTTTTTATTCGACCCAATATTCTCTCTTATATCCGATTCTCTTGGTACTTTTTCCTCATTATGTGTCCTTATTTTTTTCTCAGTCTTGAAACTCCAGCTTTCTCTTCCCATCTTTAAAATATATTTCTCTTTTCTCCTTGTTTGCATCCTCAAATCCTCTCTTCCGTCATCTTTGAATCATCATTGATCAAACGCTCTTTGAAATCCATGATATCCAACATCTCCATCCTTCTAGAAATATTTTCTCTGATTCTAACCATACATTCTTAACATTCCCATCTTTCTCACCTCAAGTCTCTTCTTCTTCCGCCATCTTTTGAAAGAAATTTTTCTGATTCTTTTCTAAATTTGCTTCCGTAATATTTTTTCTTTTCTTTAACTTGCTAGATTCTCAACACAGATGTCAGGTAAGATCTTTTATATTCTTTTTCTTTGTTAATTTCTCGAGCCCGCTTTCAGGTATCTTTTAAATTTTTTCTGATTCTCCTTTCGCTCTCTTCTTCGAGCCGTGATTCTCAGATTCTCATTTTGAAGGCCCTTCATTTTCGACATCGTTCCGCCATCCCAGAAATTTCTCCAATCTTTTTAATCTCTCTTCCTGATGTCTCAAGTCGCTCTCTTCCGCCATCTTTGAAATATTTTTTCTCTGATTCGAGCTTGATCATTCTTCTCGTTTGCATCCTTCTCTGATTCTGCTTTCGACTAATAACTATTCTTTGATGTTCTCAACATCTTTTTCTTGTTATCTTTTGTTTTTTTTTCTCTTTCTAGCTTGATACATTTCTTTTTTTCTCTTTACCTTCATAACATTTCATTTTTTGCCATTTTGAAATATTTTCTCTTTCTAATGCTTTTTTCTTCGCTCAAAACCTTGAAATATTTTCTCTGATTCTTCTTTTCATTTTCAACATTCTTTATCATTTCTTTTTTTTTTATTCTCATTTTCTCCTGTCTTCCGCCATTTTGTTATATTTTCCCTGATTTTAGCTTAATCTTTCATTCTGGATCTCGCTCTCTTCCGCCATCTTTAAAATATTTTCTCTGAATCTAAATTCGGAGAGCTTCTCGTTCATCTCGCTCGTCTTTTTTGCATTTTGTGAAATTCTTTTCTCTTCTTTCTACTTCATACATTCTCAACAAGGTCGCTAAAGCCATTAGATTTTAATATTTTCTCTGATTCTAGCTTGAACATTCTGAGTTTTTTCTCTGATTCTAAGATACATTCTCAACATCTCGCTCTCTTCCGTCATCTTTGAAATGTTCGGTGAAAAAACTATTTTTCTCGAATCTCGCTTTCTTCCGCATCTTTGCAATTTTCTCATTGATACATTCTCAACATCTCCAGTCTTCCGGCATCTTTGAAATTTTTCTCTGATTCTAGCTTGATACATTCTCAACATCTCGCTCTCTTCCGCCATCTTTGAAATATTTTTCTCTGAAGATACATTCTCAACATCTCGCTCTCTTCCGCCATCTTTGAAATAATTTCTCTGATTCTGCAGATCTTTGAAATATTTTCTGATTCTAAGCTCTTCCGGTGAAATATTTTCAACATACATCGACTCTCTTCCGCCATCTTTGAAATATTTTCTCTGATTTTAGCGATACATTCTCAACATCTCGCTCTCTTCCGCCATCTTTGAAATATTTTCTCTGATTCTAGCTTGATTATCTCAACATCTCTCGACATCTCTCTCTTCCGCCATCTTTGAAATATTTTTTTCTGATTTAGCTTGAAACATTTTCAACATCTCGCTCTCTTCTAGCCATCTAATATGATTCTAAATTCTTTTTCTCTGAATTCTTTGAAATATTTTATCTGATTCTAATCAGACATTCTCGATCTCTTAAAAGCCATCTTTGAAAATTTTTTATCTGATTCTAACTTGATACATTCTCAACATCTCGCTCTCTTCCGCCATCTTTTGAAATATTTTTCTCTGATTCTAGACAATACATTCTCAAATCTCGCTCTCTTTTATGGATTGAAATATTTTCTCTGATTCTAGGATACATTCTCAACATCTCGCTCTCTTTGCCATTTTGAAATATTTTCTCTGATTCTAGCATTACATTCTCAACATCTCGCTCTCTTCCGCCATCTTTGAAATATTTTTCTCTGATTCTATTTGATACATTCTCAACATCTCGCTCTCTTCCGCCATTTTTGAAATTCTTTTCTCTGATTTTATCTTCATTCTCAACATCATCGCTCTCTTTTCTTTTGAAATATTTTTTCTCTGATTCTATTTGATACATTCTCAACATCTCGCTCTCTTTGCCATCTTTGAAATATTTTTCTCTGATTCTAATTTTATACATTCTCAACATCTCGCTCTCTTCTGCCATCTTTCAAATCAATTCTTTTCTTTCTTTCCTTAACATTTCTCGCTCTTTTCCGCCATCTTTGAAATTTTTTCTCTGATTCTAGCTTGATTCATTCTCAACATCTCGCTTCTTCCGCCATCTTTGAAATATTTTTCTCTGATTTTATTTCTTGATACATTCTCAACATCTCGCATCTCTTCCGCCATCTTTGAAATATTTTTCTCTGATTCTAGCTTGATATTCTCGACATCTCGCATCTTCGTTCTTCCGCAAAAAATATTTTTTCTGATTCTAGCTTGATACATTCAACATCTCGCTCTCTTCCGTCATCTTTGAAATATTTTTTCTCTGATTTTATTTCTCTTTTTAGAGGTGTTTTTTGATTCTTGAATTCTCAACATCTCATCTCTTCCGTCATCTTTGAAATATTTTCTCAACATTCGCTCTCTTCCGCCATCTTTTGAAATACTTTTCTCTGATTCTAGCTTGATACATTCTCAACATCTCGCTCTCTTCCGCCATCTTTGAAATATTTTTCTCTGATTCTAGCTTGATACATTCTCAACATCTCGCTCTCTTCCGCCATCTTTGAAATATTTTTCTCTGATTCTAGCTTGATACATTCTCGACATCTCGCTCTCTTCCGTCATCTTTGAAATATTTTTCTCTGATTCTAGCTTGATACATTCTCGACATCTCGCTCTCTTCCGCCATCTTTGAAATATTTTTATCTGATTCTAGCTTGATACAGTCTCAACATCTCGCTATCTTCCGCCATCTTTGAAATATTTTCTCTGATTCTAAATACATTCTCAACATCTCGCTCTCTTCGCCATCTTTGAAATATTTTTTCTCTGATTCTAGCTTGATACATTCTCAACATCTCGCTCTCTTCCGTCATCTTTGAAATATTTTTCTCTGATTCTAGCTTGATACATTCTCAACATCTCGCTCTCTTCCGCCATCTTTGAAATATTTTTCTCTGATTCTAGCTTGATACATTCTCGAACATCTCGCTCTCTTCCGCCATCTTTGATATTTTTCTCTGATTCTTCTTGATACATTCTCGAACATCTCGCTCTCTTCCGCCATCTTTGAAATATTTTCTCTGATTCTAAGCGATATTCTCGACATCTTGTTCCGCCATCTTTCATTTTCTGATTTATCTCTTCCGCCATCTTTGAAATATTTTTCTGATTCTAGCTTGATTTCTCGACATCTCGCTCTCTTCCGCCATCTTTGAAATATTTTCTCTGATTCTAGCATACATTCTCAACATCTCGCTCTCTTCTTTGAAATCTCTTTCTAGAAACATTCTTTTCTCTTCCGATTCTTTGAAATATTTTCTCTGATTCTCAACATTCTCGACATCTCGCTCTCTTCCGCCATCTTTGAAATATTTTTCTCTGATTCTAGCGATTTTTTTTCTCAACATCTCGCTCTCTTCCGCCATCTTTGAAATATTTTCTCTGATTCTAGCTTGATACATTCTCGACATCTCGCTCTCTTCCGCCATCTTTGAAATATTTTTATCTGATTCTAGCTTGATACATTCTCAACATCTCGCTCTCTTCCGCCATCTTTGAAATAATTTTTCTCTGATTCTAGCTTGATACATTCTCAACATCTCGCTCTCTTCCGTCATCTTTGAAATATTTTTCTCTGATTCTAGCTTGATACATTCTCGACATCTCGCTCTTCCGCCATCTTTGAAATATTTTTCTCTGATTCTAAGCAGATACATTCTCAACATCTCGCTCTCTTCCGCCATCTTTGAAATATTTTTCTCTGATTCTAGCTTGATACATTCTCAACATCTCGCTCTCTTTTTGCCATCTTTGAAAA